CGCCTGCCAATTCCGACACACATTCCAGCTGGTAATAACGTTATTTTTGTAACGTTGGTACCTTTCGGAGTTTCTTCATTTACAATTTGGAAATGTGGAGATTTTTGATTCCAACTCCCAGTGATGATGTACGATTTCCCATCAGAGCTTTTACCCATGGATTCCTAGAAGCAAAGGAAAGAGCAAACACGTTGCTATTAACATGAAACTCATTTTAAAAATGCCAAGTGCTCGGTGCGCTCAGGAAAGGGGTGAGTCCCAGCCCAGAGACCGATTCCTGACGTCTGTTCACAAAACAACTACTGCCTGGGCAGCCACAGGGCAACCTCCCCAAGTCCACATCACTCAGCTGTAACCAGGAAAGACCATCTCTGGGGAGGAGAGGAGAACTTAGCCTGCACCACCTTTGACCTTCCAGCTGACCCTACCAAGAACAGGGCAATGATTGTGTGTGACATGCACACTGACTGTGCAAAGAACAGTCGTTCATTTCAGAGTGGTCCAAGAGCCATCTGCAAGCTAGTGACTTTCAGGCCACTCCTAATCCAGGTCAGATTATCTACAGTGGAAAGGCCAAACCATACACGCTCCCCTCAACACTGCCCTAGAGGAGTCCAAGCAATTCAGTGCTTGCAGCCTTATTTCGTAATGTGCGGTCTCACAACGACAGCTACTTGAGTGGTACATTCACTCCATGAAAACACGTGCACAAAGCTCCTAAACCAGAGTTTCTTAAACTTTTTAAGACCGAGGAACACCAAACAATTTTTTTTAGGAGGAACTCCAAGGCCGGGGAAAAATGGAGGAAAAACAAACACAGAAAAACAAAAAACCTCCCAGATTTTGAAATCTGTTCTCTGTGGCACACCTCCGACTGCCTCGCGGCACACCAGTGTGCCACGGAACACAGTTTAAGAAACACTGTCCTAAACTGTTTGCCCTGGGGATGCATTTCATTGCCTATCCTATATTGAAACCAATTAAAATCAAGAATACTGCCTTACAAACTGCTAACCCTAAAAAGCTTCCCAGCTGTTTCACACTAATGTGTCTTGATACATTGCAGGGCTGTAATAACAAACATCTGACAGTGTGAGATTGTTCTATCCTCAGTGTCCTTGGTGTCTCAAGGACATTAGAGGGCACATCTCTTATACTGGTCTTTTTCTAAAATATACACACAACATTAAAAGCTAGGAAATGCCAGAAATAAGGTTTCACAAGCAACCTTAATGAAATCCCCCTTGTCTGTATGATTGATAATATAAGTAAGGATGTTCAAATGCACCGGTTCCGGGACTGCCGGGGGCTCTTACAACGTTTAAAAAGCAGAGGCTCAGTATCTGGGACCCGACTTATCTGTCCCGGCTCGCACTGGCTCCCCCGCTGCATGTCTGCCTCCCCTGCCCCTTGCGGAGAAAGTGCTGGGGGAAACCAGCTTTTAAGCTGGCTCCCCTCAGCACCAGCTCCTGCTCCCCCACCTTGCTGCCTCTGATATAGAAGCAGAGGGTGGAGATGGGAGGGAAGCGAGTAGTCGAATAGTGACTCAACTAATTGCTTACATCCCTAAATATAATCTTTATTTACAGGATCCCATTCTTTTCTTTCCACAAGATTCTCGCCCCACAATGGCCAGGACTCACTAAACAACCAGTTAATTCAAGATTTTGTTTTATCCTCATTGTTCAGCTTGTGGCCTCTGCTCTGAAAACGAAGTTATTCATTTACACATGGCACTTTCCTACAGTGCTTGCCCCAACAGAATCTGGATGCTTCACAACCATTAACAAATATATCTTCAGAATGCCTTTCCTGAGGCCAGGTGGTAGTATCTTCATTTACTGAAGGGGAACCAAGGCAGGGATGAAGGGCAGAAGTCTTTGCTAATTTTGCTGCCTAATTTGAAGCATCTCAAATCCTGCCTTTTCAGAGCACATTATATAGCCCTTGATATGTTCCAAGGACAACTACCATTGAGTTGTGTACATCAGACCCTACATCTTATGTCAGGCATCCAGAAAATGAGAACAGCAACCAGCTGTATAAAGCTATCAAAAAGACTGGAAGCTGTACATTACAGATGATTGAGGGAGAGACTACGTATTTCATTGAAAGAGAAAATAAAAAACGTAAAGAATAAGGGCGCCGACAGAGCAGAATCTATTTAAACAGAAGAACTTATTCACACAACACACAGTCAATCTATGGAACTCACTGCCAGAAGATGCTGTTCAGGCCAAAATTATAACTTATTTCAAACAAAGAACTGCATACATTTCTACAGAATAGGTCTGTCAGTGACTATGAGCCAAGATGGGCAAGGATGCATCCCCATTCTCTGGGTGTCCTTAAACCTCTGACAGTCAGATGCTGAGAATGGACAGCAAAGGAAGGCTCGCTTAATGCCTGCCCTGTTCTGTTCAGTCTCCGAAGCATCTGGCCTCATCAGAAGAAAGGACAGAAATTGGGCCACTAGAAATCTCATGAGATTCAACAAAGACAAGTGTAGAGTCCTGCACTTGGGACGGAAGAATCCCAAGCATAGTTACAGGCTGGGGACCAACCAGTTAAGTAGTAGTTCTGCAGAAAAGGACCTGGGGGTTACAGTGGATGAGAAGCTAGATATGAGTCAACAGTGTGCCCTTGTAGCCAAGAAGGCTAATGGCATATTAGGATGCATTAAGAGGAGCATTGCCAGCAGATCCAGAGATGTCATTATTCCCCTTTATTCGGCTTTGGTGAGGCCACATCTGGAGTACTGTGTCCAGTTCTGGGCCCCCCACTACAAAAAGGATGCGGACGCATTGGAGAGGGTCCAGCGGAGGGCAACCAAAATGATTAGGGGTCTGGAGCATATGACCTACGAGGAGAGGCTGAGGGACTTGGGTCTGTTTAGTCTGCAGAAGCGAAGAGTGAGGGGGGACTTGATAGCAGCCTTCAACTTCCTGAAGGGAGGTTCCAAAGAGGATGGAGAGAGGCTGTTCTCAGTAGTGACAGATGGCAGAACAAGGAGCAATGGTCTCAAGTTGTGGTGGGAGAGGGCCAGATTGGATATTAGGAAAAACTATTTTACTAGGAGGGTAGTGAAGCATTGGAATGGGTTACCTAGGGAAGTAGTGGAGTCTCCATCCCTAGAGGTGTTTAAGTCTCGGCTTGACAAAGCCCTGGCCGGGTTGATTTAGATGGGATTGGTCCTGCCTAGAGCGGAGGGCTGGACTTGACGACCTTCTGAGGTCTCTTCCAGTTCTGATTCTATGATAAGGGGATGGTTGGATGAAATAACATGATCTTGGTAACTAATTGACCATTCATTATCAGTTGGAAATAGGTCAATGGAGGGATGATAGGAGTTGCTATAGGGAACTTTCTGGGTGTCTGGCTGGTGAGTCTTGCCCACATGCTCAGGGTTTAGCTGATCGCCATATTTGGGGTCGGGAAGGAATTTTCCTCCAGGGTAGATTGGCAGAGGCCCTGGAGGTTTTTCGCCTTCCTCTGTAGCATGGGGCACAGATCACAGCTGGAGGATTCTCTGCATCTTGGGGTCTTCAAAGTATTTGAAGGCTTCAATATCTGAGATGTAGGTGAGAGGATTATTCTAGGAGGGGTGGGTGAGATTCTGTGGCCTGCACTGTGCAGGGGGTCAGACTAGATGATCACAATGGTCCCTTCTGACCTTGAAGTCTATGAGTCTATAAAGCAAGGCCAATGGCCAAGAAAAAATCCCCAGGTCTGGCTCTTGTCCCTGCTGTATTTGAGGCCAACTGTTCTTGCTTCCCCTTGATTGGGTACAGGCAGAGAGAGCACTGAGAGTACAAGAGTGCGTCTGTTCTCAGCTCCTGTGCCCAGTGGCCCATAGCAGATGGGAGCAACAACTGCAGGGGAAGTGCTGCTCCGCCCTTATGGCCCTGGACTGAAGCCTGCCCAATACAGACAGACAGAATCTTTGCTACAACTTGGCTGCTAAACCTCTGCTGAGTATGAAAAAGCCTGGTTTGCACAGAGGCCTATAATTTGGCTAAATTCAAGAACTCTAAAGGGCAAATTGCTGACACAAAAGCAGCCTTCCCACTCCACCCCCCTCATCACCACCAAATTCAAAGACCCTGCTCCAAATCTTACATGTGCTACAGCTTCTCATGGAAACATTTGTACTTTTTAAAAAAATATAAAAGGGAATTTCTCCCCACTATTTTTGAATACAGCTTTGTCAAAGCATTTCAATAAACTTCAGACTTAGGAAGACACCAAGCGCAGAAAATTTCAACCTGAATTATTCAAGTTTGGCAAAATCATAAGCCACTGAAATCAGGCTCTTCACACGGTAAATATCAGCCAATTTTAATGATAAATGGCACTACCAGCTCCATTAAAACAAAAGAAAAAGTGACTTCATTTTAAATAGATAATTGACTATAAATGGAAATACTACTGGTTTCATTGCACTGCACAGTACAATGTGGAACTTGCATTCTGCTTCTTTTTAAAAGTTCCTCTAACTTTCTCTGTGGCCTCTTGGTGAGGCTATTAACCACAATCCAAGGCATTTCAGATGCATGGCAGAATTTAACGATAGGCCTTTGCAGAGCACAGAGGAAGCAAAAAAATTCTCTGCTAAGACGACACTAGCATGTCTGCGAATGGGTATCCAGAAGATAGCTAATGAACACATACTGACACTGTTCACATTTGAATAATAGCTACTGTCCTTCTAAGAGGGGATAGGACTGCATTCTGAAGCAAATCAGGAATTGACTGACATATGCATAAAGTACAATGGAAAGAGAGGTGTTTAGAAAGACTTTGTTCCAAACCAGTTTTAAAATTTAACTTGTCCAGTTACCTGGTTGCCTTTCAACATGAATTAAAACAGAAAAGATACTCTTCTACAGATGGTAATAGAACACTACTAAAAACACTATTCAGATTTAAAAAAAAAAAAACACCAACACAAATTATGCCTGTGAGAAAAACACTATTCAGATTTAAAAAAAAACCACCAACACAAATTATGCCTGTGACACACCCAGCACCTTAGCAATTACTACATCAGCACTTTGCAGATATCTAACCAAAATACAATAAGCCATCAGTGAAACACCCATATGCTAATTCCAAAACTCTGAACTGAAATGATTATCCAGCTTCCCTATAAAAGTTCGCACTATGATCTGGCTGGAATGTGGAGGACAACGAAACATTTGAGGCAAATTGGGCTGCTCGTCTCAAATACCAACATGGATTAAACCCTTTTAAAATCGAAGTCATGGAACCCTTCTCTTTTGCTGTAGAACTCCATCTTTCAGATTAATGCATTATTATACTTAATCCACCTTCACATTTGGGGATGTGTGGGTGAAATGAACTGTGCCCTTTTATGATGCCCTGAGTGCATGCTGAAGAACTGGCTACTGGTGACCACACAGTCAGATCTTTCCAGCCTGTTCCCCGGGATCAGACATTAGCGCTGCTTAGAAATCATCTTGCTCTTTGTTAATAAAAACCCACTTTACCAAATCTAAAAGGTGCATGTCACCACTCCGAACGTCCTTCCCAGGGCTCAGGAGAAGGCCAAAACATCTGCAAAAACACCAAAAAAGTGATTATAATTCAGGGACATGCTGATACCACTGCCTACAAAATACCCATTTACGGACATCTCTGCCTGCGTATCGCACTGGGCCTTTGAACACTACACAAGAGCATGCAATTCCGTTCCCATAACTGCTCTATCACATGGCTCTCTGCCTGCTGCGGCCCTGGAAGTTATTTAAGAATCTGCACTGCAGGAACAGCCCAAACGTAGCTGTGACTAACAAGGTTAGCTGGTTGGCCAGGCCTCTCTCACTTCCTATTGCTCAGGATATTTGCATTAGGCACTTTCTATACCTGTCCACACAACCACCACATCCAAAATTGAAGTGCAAAGGTATTTTATGCCTTTATTTAGGCCTGCCAATGGGAGGGGGAGCAAAAGGGAGCAGTTACACCGGGCCCCCGCGATTCACGGTAGTGGCAGCATCTGGAGCACCGGGCCCTTTAAATTGCCACCAGAGCAGCAGGCAGCATGCTCCGGGCAGCTCTAAGGGCTATGGGGTGGGGGGGTCGAGCACTCCAGGAGGCAGAGGGCCAGCTGCCCCCCAGTCCCACTCCATCTGTCTGAGGTCCTGTTCCTTCCAGGAGTGCAGAGATCCTCCCTCCCCCTTTGCCTAGGGGCCCAGCGTGGCTGTTGGCTCCCCTGCTTTTATTTCACAGTAATGTCAGGCTCAAGTAGCAGACATGGCTTTATTTTCCTGCTTGCATCACAACCTCAATTTGTTGCATTTCTTTTCAGACTGCAAATTCCATGGGGCAGAAGCTCTGGCCTCCTCAGTAGTATGAACAATGCAGAGTAGACTGTTAGTGCTTGGATAGAGAATAAATCTCCTTCCAGCCAACAGAAGGTCATGAGAATTCCTTATCCCCCTCCACTTTATATTCTCAACTACTACAGATTCGGGGTATGTGTAGTGCTGTGCACAAGGTGACCAAGGACCACCACGCGCGCTCAGATTTCACGATCTTTCCATCCGTGACCCGAATAGGCCAGTTATTTATGAAGGAATGCAAGGGAGATTACAGAATGATCTATATGATATGCAACAGATTCTAAAATTACATAGTTTCCAACCAAAATTTTTTCTGGTTCCCTTGAAATTGAAGTAGCATTTAACAGTCCCTGCATACAATCAGGAAACATAAAATAGGATAAGTACTTTCCATGCAAATTATAAAAAAACTCATATCAACACAGGATGTTCACCAAGAGAGAGATTACGGATTTGCTGCCTTTGAATTAGGAACAACATAACTAAAAAGAACACAGTTAAAGAATTCAAAACACAGGTTTACCTCTCAATGGCAAGTTCTTTATTAGTTGTCTGTTGAACATAAATCACAATCTTCTTGTCAATTCCTTGGCGGAGTTTAAAACATTGTCTGTCTTTGTCTTTGGGAACTGCACTGTTATTTACCAGAGAAGGGAGAAAACGACAGATTGGCATTTATCTGTATCCTTTCAATAATCAGAATAGCATCAGACATTTGTTGACGTCAGCTCTTACACACAGGTACTCAGACCTTTCTTCCTCACTCACTACAGTCAGTAACAGAACAGAGCTGGCAACGTAATTCAGGAAATGGTATTCCCTTGGGCTTTGAAATTAACTAACATAACTCTTTGTATTATGTAGCTGGTTCTTGGATGCTTTCAACAGCACCACACAAGGGGTTTTAAAATACTGAGGTTTAAAGCAATTTCATTATGTATTAGAAACTGTGAATCATCCAGGTGCACAGTGTGACAGCAGGGGCTCACCTGCATTCATTTTTGCAGATACCGATACAAAATTATGTATCTGCACAGGGTTCTAATTCTAAGTGCCCGGGCTGGGCTGATTACATTCTGCTTCTTCCATATTACTCCCAAGCATCTGAATTGGGTAAGATTTTCTCTTTCACTTCCTTTTCCTAAGAAAAGATTGCTTTGTGGTGTTAAAACAGCAGCTGCATTCCACCCCAGGGGAAGCTGCATTTCTGGAGCTGAAAAGATCCTTGCATACAGCCTGACCCTGAGGCCCTGAATTGGTATATCAGTTTGTTCCGTTTGAGCTGTGGTTTGGATGCTCCTGGATGGGAGATGCCATAACAAAGAGGAGGGGGGAAAGGGAATTTGTTTTTAAATAATATTTCCATGGGACATAAATCCAAAAAGAGAAACAGCGTTGGACTTCTGGTGAGCAGCCAACCTGCTTCACAGTTCCAGGAGCACATGACAGTCATGTTACTGTGAGATAAAGGCAACCCCAGAGTTATAAAATTCCATCCATTGCTGCATACAACAGCACAGAGCACTGTATATGGGCTAAACAGAAACAAAACACCAAAGAAGGCCTCTGAGGAATCAGGGTTATGCAGTGTTAGACACAGCCGCCCCCTTTAGAACTGCTACATTGTCTGTGGAGAGCAGAGTCTCAGGAACAGACACAGAATCCAGCAGCACTTGGACTAGAAGACAGAACAAAACTGGGTGTCTTTGAGAGACAGGACCCAGAGGACAAGCATTCAGGAACAGCCACAAGCTCCATTTAGAGGGTTATAATTAAATATCTGCAGCTGGTGGAGAAATTTAGCATCATCATCACAAGCAGAGGTTTGAATTTCAGTGAAATGGTTCATGCGACAAGGATGAGTTGTTGACATCTAAGCCTGTGACAATGAATTTGAATTCAGTCTCCTTCACCCCTGCTGCCCTGAAACAAAGGCTGGGTCCATGCCTGAGGAAATCCCAAAGAAGCAAACAGGAACAGAGGAGCTTGGCACGTCTATTTCTCGGAACAAGCCACAGGCTAAGAAGCAGTGGGCATATGCGGCAGCAATGAGGAGCTGTGGTCTGCCACCAGGAATGAATGCAAGCCTCCGGAGGTCCCAGGGAGCAGCATCCATACAGCTCTATGCTCCAGAGAAGCAATACAATCCACAGACACTGCTGGGCTCCTAGGATACATCCACAGAGCAATGAAACACCCACAGCTGCCCAAGTCAGCTGGCTCAGGCTGAGGGGGCTATAAAACTACTGTGGAGACATCTGGGCTCAAGCTGGAGCCCAAACTCTGGGACTCTCCCGCCTCACGGGGTCTCAAAGCCCAGGCACCAGCCCAGTCTACACAGCACTTCTCAGCCCCACCCCGTGATCCCAAGTCAGCTGACCTGACACATCATGGCTGTGAAATGGATTATACAGCTCTATGCTCCAAGATATATGTACCCCGGGTCACAAGATAAAGGCAACAGTGGCAGCTATTGATCTTAGAGGCACAGAGTACAAGCTCAAGATTCCAACCTTGTAGTCGCTGTCTCTTGGTAGAGAAAGCCTCTCTCACGTTGTATTGGCACTATGCTTCCCTAGGGGTTACTTCTGCTGGAAAAATTCTGACACGTATAAGCACAGCTTAATTTCCTGAACACGCTCATAGCAAAATCAAGGCAAGTGCTAGAAGCAGGAAATGAGCTTCCATATGTTTCTTGAGAGGCCAAAGCTTCCGCTCTACAGGAACAGACTAACTCCTTTTCACATATGAAGTCAACTGTGGCTTTTGAAAAATTATTCCATTTCAAAGAATGTTCACATTAAAATCCAAGGTCCTCATGAATAATAATCTGTACAGATTTCTATTCACTCTTGGGGGGGCTGATTTTTGACTCCACGTGGTGCTGCAGTGCTAGCTCTTCAGAGAGGAAGTCATGAAAGGGGCAGACGGTACCAGATGGGAATTGGGCAGGGAACACATTTCTGTGCTGCACTAGTAGGGTAGCTGAGGCAGGTGCTTGTGGTCTTCGTCATCAGGCTGCTGAAGCAATAACAACACTGTACTCGCCTAATTATTCACCACGTATCTTTGGGACAGGAAACAGATTTCAACATCATATGAAGAGTCATTTCCATCTTTGCTGGGCAGTTGCATGCTTTTAAAAGTTCTGTGTTCAGGGTTAGTGGATAAAAGTTTTGTGCACTAATAAAAATATTGAAAGCCTGCGACCAAGTGGAAGGGATACCTGGGTCTCAAAGAATAATCCTGGTAAATACTGCCCTCCTCATGTCTGGTCACTGAAGAATTTTGAGCATGTGGAAGCCCTTGTTTGCTGCAAGCCTTCTCTGACATATCTTGCCAAGTTTTAAGTCCAGCTACTTTTCTGATTTACCCAGACCCCAGGTTTCGTGTTAAGGTGGCCAGAGTGGGTTTAACACTTTAATAAAGCAAGCTGATGGGAGCTGACGTGTCATGTCCTTGCAATTTTTTAGAGGGGAGTTTATGCTAAGTGTGTGGTCAGACTTTCAGAAGATGTTTAATACCAGGTTGCTCCCACTGACTCTAATAGGATCTATGGCGTTGCGCACTCTGACCAGTAATATTTGATATTACAATTGAAATATTACATGTTTAGGCTCAACCATGCTGCTACGAAATGCAATGAGCTGCTTTGCCCACAGCGTTCTAAAGACAAATGGGAACACGCCTGGCAGATGACCTTAGACTCGATGCAATGAAAACCACAACAAACAACAACAAAAAACAGGAAGGTCCTGAGCAAGGTAAGAGAATCTAGAATTCATCACAGCTTTATTTTCCAAAAATGCTCTCACCTGGGACTGTCTTCAAAAGGAGGATTTAGGGGTAAGCCCGCACCCCTTTTGCAATCCTTCAGCCACCCCCACCCGATGGCAAGTAAAACTCAGGAAGCAATACCTGAAATAACCTTTCCCATCATCTTCCTTGATTTCCAGGGATACAGAGAATGTGAAAATATCGCTGTCCGGAGTCTGTGGGGCTGTAGTGGCAGAGAGCGGAGTCTGTTTGGCAGAACGGCGGAAGGCAGTGGCAAAACTGTACAGTATTCGGCTCACCTGCATTCAGACAGCATCAGAGACATTAGAAAAGGTTCAAGTAGGATGGCTACCTGTGTTTTCATTAATCAGTGCAATGAAAAAATACAGCGGCAAAATATGGAGATATATTCTGGTTCTACAAAAGATAAAATAGTAAAGGTGCTAGCTGTCACCTCATGGCTGCAATTTCTATGCATTTACCATCTTCTGAGTTATGAAGAGACCACGTCTTCACAATATTCCACAGTACTTCCAGCATTTCACAATGTATTGAACTAATCAGACCCTGATTCTCTAACGCACAAGGAATAATTTGTCTTTGAAGCTCTGAGAGGTGTCCAAAAATAGCACTGTGAAGCTAGATGTTTAATAATCTCAATGATTCTGGATCAAAGGTGAGTATCTGATATGGCAAGGCTATTTTTTCCTGTGGTTCTGCCTCCGTATTTAACTAAGGGTGTGATGATGCTGCACTGATTTTGTCAAACTGGTGGTACCTTGTGAGCGTCCAATCATGCACATAAGCACCAACTTCCTCTCTAGCTGGGGGGGGAGGGTGCTCGATCTGCCCTATCCCCATTCCGTTGCTTCCACCAAACCCCACCCTTGCTCCACCCCATTTCACCACTTCCGCCAGGGCCTTGCCCTGCCTCCTCCCCGGCACATCCCAATCCCACTTCTCCCGCTCTCTCGCAGAGCTTCCAAACAGCTACAAATCAGCTGATCATGGCACTCAGAAAATGCTGGGAGGGCAGAGGAGGAGTTGGTCAGTGGGGCCACCGGCGGTGGGAGCATGGCTAGTGGTGGGTACTCAGCAGGGCACCCACTAGGTGTGTGATGCTGGTCTAACACTGCATTCAAACCTTCTTGCACCAATGTAAACCCGGTTTACCTCAGTTCAGCCTGCTCTTGTTATGCAAACCATTAAGGCAAGCTAATTTGATGTAAGCCAGATTCAACCTGATCCAAAACACACACACACACACACACACACACACACAGCACCAGTTTAACCAAGACAACGCAATATCGCACCTTTTGTTAAACTGATGCAACTGGATGTGTAAACAAGGCCTGTCAGCTCCAACAACAGAACTAAAATTTGATCAGTTTATTTGCTACTGTTCAAGCCAGAGCAGACAGTCTCTCACTCTTCCAAAGTGGTGTTGGCAATGCAGAATTAAAAAGGAAAAAACAGGTTTCAGAACATCTTCCAGGAGCTCAACAAATCAGCAAGATCATTTTTATGTGGTTCCTTTTTCCTGGACACTGCAGTAAGCATGACCTAAAGTCTGCATCACTCGGATGGAAATTCTGAGGTAGCTTCAGATTCATTTTAATATTATTAAATGTTACTTTTAATTTAAACAAACCTATGCATTAGCCTTTGTTGTTTTCTTTTTCTATTAAATGCAGGTGGTTTTGCATTATTTCCATATTTTCAGGTTTTTTTACATTATGTAAGGTTTTATAATGATAGTGAGTCTCAACAGTCCAGCAGCTGCCAAGGGGGAGATGAAAGTAAGCAGCTGGGAAGGTGAGACACATCTGGGTTTGTGGGATGTAGCATGAGATATTTCTGCTAAGAGGAAGCAATTAATGCTGAGACAAACTATTCTCTTTGCTTTCACAGCTAACACCCCACTGGGCAATCCACTCTTCAGAGATACTGTTTCAGGCTGCCTAAAAACTCAAGCAAATGTACCGCCTCAGATTGAACTTGACTCTGGTTTTTGAAGGTATATTTTGTAATCGTAAATGCTGAAAAAACTTTAAATGAAAGTTTAGATTCTGCAGCACAATTATTCAGCAAGGGGTGATTTACACAGCTGTAGAGTTATGGAAAACATTGATACATAGGTCCTTGGAAGGAGCCTTGAAAAGTCATCCAGTCTAGCCTTCTGCACTGATGCAGGACCACATAACACAGATGCTCTCTGACAGGTGTTGGTTTTTAAAAACTTCCAGTGACTGGGATTCCACAATCCCCTTTGGAAGCCTGTTCCAGAGCTTAACTATCTGTTTCATTAGAAGGCTTTTCTAATATCTAACCTAAAAGCCACCAGCAGCGGAACCAGCTTAGAGACAGAGTCTACCATGGCATCTATACCTCACAAGGAAAGAACACCTTAGTTACCCTTCACTTGAGAAAACAAAAGAGATGGAGCACCCTGAGCTCTGTGAAGGGACCAAGCCAGAGAGTCTGGTCAGTCGTACTGGAAAACATACTTAGTAAGAAACACGTCTTTTAAAAAAGAGAGACATCTGTTAAATCAGGTGGTAGTCTGAGAAGTGTATTTCTACTTTTGTTGCTCGTCACCTTTTCTATCTTCACTCCCTAAAATGTGGTAACGCTTCAACGTATGTCTTTTTGTTTAGTCAACTTGTTTTATTATAAAGCAATTCAGTGCCTTGATTAACAGAGCGTCTGATAAGCCCAGCTGGGATAATAAGTTGCTGGGTACCTTAATGGAAGCACGAGCCAATTGAGCAGACGTGGGCGCTGGAGTTCTCGGATTGTTACCTGCAAGATTCGGCAAGGTGGACAAGCTGGGGTTCCAGTGAAATATCACACAGCTTACAAGCAGCAGCTCTCACTTCTAACACAGTGACGTACAATTCTGGGATCCCCGGCAGGCTGACATTCCTTTGCTGCACATTCCTTTCCTTGTTGTCCTACTTTCATTTGTTCTCCATGTGCTCTGATCACTGCCCTCTTAACAGCCCAAAGCATATTTGAAGACTTATCAGGTGCCCCCATAAGTCTCCTCTCAAGACTAAATAGGCAGTTTTTAAAAATCTTTCCTCGTAGGTGAGAAATCCTGACCTTTCAATCCCTTTTGTTGCTCACCTCAGGACTTCCCAATTTGTTTGCTCAAAACTGCACTACTATTCCAGCTCAGGCCTCACTCATGCTGCCTAAAGCAGGACAATGGCCTTCTGCATCCTACATACAACTTTTCTCTTCACATGCACCATAACGACATTAGCCTTTTTTGCAGCTCCATTCCGTTGTTGATACATTCAATTTGTGTTTCACTACAACTCCTCTGTAACCCCTATAACAGGGGATTCTGAGCAAGAGACATTTAATAAGACTTAAATGCAACACAAACCAATTGATATTGAAGAGTAAGTTTCATTTGTTGCTATTCGGACCAAATTCTGAACTGGGATGTTAGTGAGAGTTCTGAGTGCAGACAGCGTACTTGGTCCAAAAGAGATTTCCAACGCGCTGGTAGGATATGCTCTTAACGCCAGTAAGGTCAAGAAAGGATTCAACTTACAGCTTCTTGGATTTCACATCGGAAGACATGAATCCTGAACAGCTCTGCATTATAGTGGCTTTCGGTGAAAGCGAAGCAGTCACTTTCCTGGGTCCCGTCATGCCCTCGCACACAGAAGAGGATTTTATAGATGGGATAATTTGCTATTTCTGTGTGTGTTTGAGGATCTAAGAGCCTGTTCCAAAAAAAAAAAAAAAAAAAAAAAAAGGGAAACTTAAGTTTTGGGCTTTACATTCCAAAAAAAAAAAAAAGGAAACTTAAGTTTTGGGCTTTACGAGGATAACTTTGGCCCACCATTTATTTGTGGGACTGAAGGATTCCACTGATATTGAGAGAAAGCACAATACACAGCCCCTACCTGCCCCAGACTGCCATTTCTCTCAAGGCCTTAACCATGTATGAAATACTGACCCATCCCCAACTCAGGTAAATACCCTCCTCCCATCCCCCAACAGTGTCAGTCAACATTAAATGGAATCCTATTAAATGTGTCAGGCATTTCCACCTGGCCTGAACTATGTTATCCAGAGGTGAGGGACAGTGAAGAAGAGCAGTGCTGGATCTGAATGCAAGTTATTCTTTTCACTTTTTTTCTTATGCCTAAAGAAAAAAGCGCAGGTACCTTAACAGCAAGACACTTAGGTCTATTAAATCCCCTGCAAAGTTCAGACTTTCCCATTCAGAAATAGGGATGTTAAAATGTCATTTTTGTGATCGTGTAACTGTTGTAATTTTCAGCAGTTACACATGGGGAGGGGCAGGCGGAAGCTGGCTTTTAAGCAGGCTCACCCCGGTTGCCTGTCTTGCCCACAGGGTGAGGGGTAAGAGGAGAGAAAAGCATCCATGCCTCGGGGGAGGGGGCAGAGTGAGAGAGACACACACGTTAACATCCCGTCTTAGAAAGCTGACCTATCCTACAGCAGTTGACATATTTCAAGTCACACAATTCTCCCATTCCCACAATAGCCCAGGCCTGCCAGGCTGTGGCATTCTTTGGGGAAGCTTGCCCACAGGGTGAGGGGTAAGAGGAGAGAAAAGCATCCATGCCTCGGGGGAGGGGGCAGAGTGAGAGAGACACACACGTTAACATCCCGTCTTAGAAAGCTGACCTATCCTACAGCAGTTGACATATTTCAAGTCACACAATTCTCCCATTCCCACAATAGCCCAGGCCTGCCAGGCTGTGGCATTCTTTGGGGAAGAGGACTGCAGCCTGCTCCCTGCCCCAGACTTTGCACAACAGCTTCACAGCCCTGGTTCTGCATCCCCCAAGATCAGAAGTCAATAATTTATAAATGACACTTCCAAATTTTCCAGCAAGGAACTGCCTCAGCTGTGATTTCCAAGACAATTCCGATATTAAGGAAGCGTCTGTGCTGCCCCTTGTGCTTGAGAATAGGGATGTTAAAATGCAGTTATTTTACTAATCAAGTATCAACGGAATTTTTATTGACTACTCAATTAGTCAATAAGGGAAGGCAGCTGGCTCAGTCCCAGTTCACACTGGGACCAAACCCCATTGCAATTTAAAACACAGTAGGAAGCAAGAGGGCAGGGGGGCAGGCTGCCTGGCTCCTACTGTGTTTTAAATTGCAGAGCCGCAGTGGAGTTTGGTCCCAGCACGAGTTGGGACACAGCCAGGCTGCCTGCCCTGTCAGTAGCAGCCCCTGTCCGTAGGGGGTCCCAGAGGGCAGTTGGGACCCAACACCGAACAAGGGTTGCTGCCAGAGCAGCCTCCTCTCAGAAGTTCTTTGCCAACTGCTGTAAGGGCACTTGGCCTTCTCTTTAAAAATATCTCACAACCCCCCCCCTTCTGCCACACTGAAAAGAAACCCCACATTGTTCAGATCTCCTCATTGTGATTAGCGGTTTGCTCTCCTAGGACAGCTGGAACTGATCAGACTGAGGGCATCAGACTCCCGAGTACCCGTGAACGAGCGTCGTACCTCACGGTTCCTTCAGACACGTTAGGCACTGACAAGGTCACATCTAAGGAAATCTGGCACTGGCTTCGTAAGATAGACATCATTCTCAGGGCTTCCACTTCACTCCTGGGGGCATTCACCGAGGCACAGCCCAAGTAGGTCAGCTTGCTGAACACCACGCTGTCCTCATCCGCCAGTGGTGTAAAAGGGCTCAACTCCTCGCAATCTGCAACAAGGCACAAAGTGACAAATGAAGAAGTAAGCCAGATGGTCAGTGTTCGTAAGTGCTGGGAGATTGGCTTGCTTGCAGAGTCTGCAGGCATGGAGCCTCTCAGCTCCCTCTGGCTACTGTTTGCAGTTCCCAGCCAATGGGAGGTGCTGGAAACAGTACAGGCTAAGGGACATGCTGGCTGCCACTTCCCACTGCTTCTGTTGGCCAGAAATGGTGAACCACAGACACTGGGAGCCTGCAGAGGCTCCAGGTAACAAAATGTCCCAACATGCCAGTGGCTTATGCTGATGAGCTGGGCCTGGAAGTTTGCAAACTGCTGACCTAGAGTTGGCTTATCAGTGGGTCACTGCGTTTTTAACCTTTTGTTCCTTTTACTTGTGGCGATCAGCTTATGAACGAACGAGCTTATGATCAAGCATATACGGTAACGTAAATCGCCGTTGGGTCAGATGAATCCCATTACTTCCTGTCTTATCTTCAGTTGTCATACAGAATGATCAATCACCATCCTCTTTCCAACAGCCCTGAATGTATTTAAGGACTGGTACCACTCTTCCATTCTCAAGACTAAGAATGCCCTTTTTAAAAAACCTTTCCTTAGAGGCCAGGCTGTCTAAACCTTTGATCAGCTGTGTTGCTCTCCTCTGGACACTCCCAAATGTGTCCATATCCTCCGTATCTTACATATGACACTCTTGCCAATGCACATTAAAACAATATTAACCTTTTTTGCAATTGCATCACACTGCTGACTTCTATTCAATTTGTGATCTATTATAAACTTTCAGATTCTCTTCAGCAATACTGTAGCCCAGCATTTCTCCCTCATTTTGCAAGTGCACATTTTTCCTTTCTAAGTAAAGTACTTTGTGCTTATCTTTACTGAATTTCATCTTGTTGAATTCAGACCCATTTTTCAATTTGTCAAGGTTGTTTCAAATTCTTATTCTGTCCTCCAGAATGCTTGCTTCCCAGGTTGCTGTCACCTGTGACTTTTATAAGCATACTCCCCACTTCACTATCCCAGATATCAACGAAAATATTAATAGTACCAGACACAGGACAGGGGTTCCCAAACGTTACCCGTAGTTTGAACAATGCTGTAGATGGTCTCACGGGTCACTTCCCTTCCCAGTGCCATCACTCTGGCAGTTACAACATTACTCGGACAGAAAGCTGGTTTCAGAAGAGTATTTTTAAATTTCTGTAATGCTATTTAGCAGCTAAAAATAAGAATGAGGGAGCTTGTGTTGGGAGAGGATTTTACCGGGGATCACTTGGAGAGCGAGCTCTTTGAGTGATATCAGAACTATTTATGAGAACATAAGGACGGCCATCCTGGGTCAGACCAGGCCCATCCAGCGCAGTGTCCTGTCGTCCGACAGTGACCAATGCCAGCTGCCCCAGAGGGAGGAACACATCAGGGAATCCTCAAGTGATCCCTCCCGCTCAGCCATTGACAGCCCCTGACAAACAGAGGCTAGGGACACCATTCCTACCCATCCTGGCTAATCAGCATTGATTGGCCTAACCTCCATGAATTTATCTAGCTCTTTATTGAACCCTGTTGAAGTTCTGGACTTCAAAACATCCTCTGGCAAGGACTGAATTCACACATTTTATAAGTCTAAACCTTATGAACAAATGCCCATGGGACAGGGCATCTTTACACTTTATCTTCTGTAGACAAAAAGATTAATCAGGCGACACTTCTTAACACGTATGTCGCTGTTTCAGGTGAGACCTTAAAAATTAAGATCCTGGCTAAATTTTTTAAAAGCACCCAAGTCACTTCAGCATTTTTGAAAATGTCACCTCATCTCCTCTGCCATCTCTTTTAGGACCCTCTCCATGCCAATTTTATAAGAGTAGAAGCTTTAACTCAGTATCTTTAGGCCAAGTTCCCTTTCTTGTCAGCCTGACAACTGTCTCCTGCCTTCTATCCCTGAAGCAGCTGCATTTCATTGGTAATATACATATGGAAGTGAAGTACTTTAGGATCCCTCCAGGTGAAAGTAGGGATGTAAAATCCCGGTTAATCAGTTAGCCTACCGTTAACATAACCGATTAACTTAACATTAGCATCCCCCAGTCCACAGGGCTCCCACCCCTGGCCCAGAGTGGGGCTGGGATTGTCGCTGGTTCCCAGCTCCAAACCCTCGCTGGAGTGGAGCTGCCCCTGCCCACAGCGGGCTCCCTGCAGGGCTGGACAGCCGCCTGCCCGCAGTAGGCAGAAAGCAGCTCCAGCCCCCATAGGTTACTGGTTAACTGGAACCAGTAAGCATCACCTGTTTTGGGTGATCTTATTGGTTTAACCATTTACCCTTTCACATCACTAGGTGAAAGCAGACGGAGCAATATTATGCATCCACCCTGTTCATCTGCATTACAGCACATTGTTTCGAGTAACTAACTTACTTCTGAAGTTGTACATTTAATATGCAAGTGATGCTATACTGCTACATGAGCAGATGATATGACAAGAGCGTCATACATTGTACATCATACATAGAGAACCCAGAACTTCTGATGGCCCCTATAAGGTAACTCCTCAGTTTTTCTGACCTCCCTGTGTTGGTTGCACTGGCAGGCTCATCTCAGGTTTCTGAAGTCCTGTCATCAACACAGGGTTAACAGTAGAAGAAGCAGAAGCCTCAAGAAGGATGGGATCGTCCCCTTCTCCATCAGTCCGACTTTCTTCCCCATGTTCCCGGTCACTGGACTGGTCTTCCATGGGTGGATCCATCAGCACATCTTCAAGTTCTTTCTGCAGCTGCTGCTCACTCCCATTCCCTACAATCTAAGAGTTATAAACACAATCAGGAAGGAAAAGAGACTTCTCCATAGAAGCAAAACTCGCATAAGAAGAATTAAAAAATTACTAGCATAAATCCTGACTTCCCACCAGCTCCAACTGCAACCTCAACAGACAAAACTTAAATGAAAGCCAGGCACGCAGCAACCAGTCTCCCTAGATTTATGAGTGCTCTTCTTTAGAAACAAAGCCGGCCTTGTTTAATACTTCAGTTTATCTTACAAAGAGCTCAGAGCAGGAATTACTTGGACATGGGAAAAAGAGAGCGAGGTGAGTCTCCCAAACTAATCAGACAACATATAAAGTATATGCAAATCAAGTATTAACCGAACTCAGCACTACTATAGTTTTATGAAGTTCTTCAGCGCCTAATATTTGATAAATACACTGTGTGTTCATGGGGGGGGGGGGGGGAGACCTCTGTCTATTGATAAACCAACGAGATTACACAGGAAAAGGGCTACAGAGAGGCGAGTCAGAAATAAATTCATACCCACACCATCAAAAGCAGAAGCCATTTAAGCAAAGCATCAAATGCATATTTGTGTTGCTTGCTGACATGAACCCACTGAGGCCAGTGGCAAAGCTCACATCAACTTAAAGGGTGCAACATCAGATCCTTAACCAGTACGAAGATGGAATCAGCCTTTAGTACTCTGCAGTGACTAAAGCAGACTGAAAATCAAGCCTAGGAAGAGGAACACTGCTGACTCGGATGTCCATAGGGACACAGAGGAACTCCACAGAATGTGGAAAGCATTTTGCCGAGTGGCAGCCAATGAAATTTACTAATATTCTAACAACTTGTTGGCAAACGTACCTACTCCTATTGGCCTTGGGCCCCATTTCCTGGGATCTGATGTCCATTTCCATAGCCACCCATCTTTTAGAACAGTGTTTCTCAATCTTTTTTTTTTAAATGAAGTACCCCCTTTAAAAAAAAAAAGTACCCACAGTACTCAGTTTTCAGACACACAAAATTTTTTTCTACCATTGCAAAACATTTGTTTAAACAACAATCATACCCAGGCAGGGGGGTGATGAACTTCTTGGGTATAAAAAGTACAAAGATGATAAAGCACTGTAAAATTTAAAACAAAAATTCAGTTTTCTCCAAATTTCAGTCATAACGTACCCCTCCCCAGAATTCTCTCAAAATCACTGGTTGAGAAACACTGTTTTAGAAGATACTGATTTCAGACACTGCTCGTAAGTTTAAAAGTCTTGAACAGTTCAGTTACATCAGCTCCTTAACACCTTTTATTAGCCTTATTTGTTAGATTAAAAAAAAAATCTTACCCAGAAAAAAGAATCGGGAGTTAGTTCCTGTTTTCCTCCTCTATTTTTTGCTTGGAAACTAGACAGCAAAGAATGGAGAAAGACTCAGTGCATACGGAAGTCTGCCACCACTACCTTTACATAAGGAAGTATATAATTCTATCTGCACCATAACCCAGGTATTTTAGTGGAATATTAACTCATCCTGAAAGCATCTGAAGCAATGACTTAGGTCCTCAGATTTAAACAGTAACTAAGTCAACCTGCAGTCCAGGAAAGACTGTTAAAATGATATACTGAACCAGATACCAGGAGACCTTCTCAAATTATAATTAAAGCACTGAAATGAAATCTACTGGATTGACAATATCTTTTTACATGAAGGCTCACAAGCTTATGGGATACATGCCCTCTAAAGAAAGTTACAGTAAAATTCCCAGCAGGAGATATTCATCTTGCTATGAGCTGTAATTCTGACAACAGCTGCTACAGGCCTTTAGGGATCAATCCCCACCCCTAACCTATGCCCAAATCTCAAAAACTTAAATTCAATACGGGAAAAAACAGAGAAATCTCAAACATGTCTAGCAGTGTCCCTCCAAGATTTTCCATCCAGGAGCGGAGTGAGTTTTGTTTTGTGTACCAATACAGAGTGCTTTGTGCCGGAGTGCGAAGGTACTTGATTGTATCATTTCACGTGATCAACTCAACTACATGAGTTCTTATTTTTCCTCAAAGTAAAGAATTGTATGTTTGTAGATTACGCTTATCAAAGGAATTTATGTAAAGCTAAGCTCATGCGGGATGGGTTTAATGAATTTCTTGCTGTTTTAAATTAAAATAAATCAAGCAGACAAGAAAACAAAGGACAGTTATAAGGCCTGTTCTGACATTCCTTGAAGATAATGAGAATCTTTCCATTAACTTCACTGGACTTTGGATCTGGTTCTTAAAGTTATTTTAAATAAATTAACTAAAAAGAGTGATGTATTATGGTATTTACTTCATTATATGTCCTCTAACAAAGACATTCAGAGAAAAATATTCTCTCTATCTTCTTGTATATATAGAAACAAGAACTGATGAAGGTCCCTGTAGGGCAAGAACTTTCATGGTCCTCTTATTTAAAATAGATATTGAGTAACATTTCTATATATTATGCAACCTTGGTGGTTCTGAGCTACAGACAATTGCTGTCTGATCACTATCTCTGTGTTCTTAGCTGCAAAGCCTCCGGTTGGACAAGTCTGTATTTTGTGTTATGAATGCAATAAGCACAATCCCCTGGCATCTGTCCCTTCCCTTACTCCCTGCACCCTCAGGGTGCCTCTCCCTTCCCACACTGCCTCTGCCCTCTTTCTCCCTGGTACCCACCCCCTCACCACCATCTTTGCCCTCCATTCTTCTCATGCCCCTCTGTGACCTCACACATGACTTGCTCCATCCCCTCTCTTCCTCATGCTCACCCCTCCTTTCAACCCCTCTTCTCCCAGCACCCACTCTTCCACTCTCCTCTTCCTCCCTCTTGCCCCCACTGTCCCTCCCCTTTCTTCTCCCAGCATCACTCTGTCCCCTCCCTTCTCGCACCCGCATCAACGCCTTCCCTCTCCTTCCCCTCCTCCTGCCCTTGCTCCTCATGGTCTCCTCTTGGCCCGCTGGCATTTGTGTCTCTTCCACCCTGTTCCTTGGTGCCTTCCCCTTTCTTCTCCTTCCTTGACCTCCTCCTCCTCCTCTCCCCTCTGCACAAGCCCCTTCCCCTCCTCACCCCCAACTTCCCCTTAGTTCTCCTCCCCCTGCCCATTCCCTCTCCTTCTGCCTTCAAAGTGGCAAGCAGCTACCCAGTCTGCAGGGGTTGGAATTGGGGCCACGGTGCTATTTTCAGTACCAAAGTCCCATCCCGAAGCACCACACAGCCCCATCCCCAGTTGCTCCCAGGGTAGGGCCGCGTGCCAGGACTGGAACCAAGGCCGGCCACAATGCTATTTTAGTAATAAAAATAGCACTGCAGGCAGTCCTGGCTCCAGTCCCACCATGTGGTCCTTGGGAGCAGCTGGGGTAGAGCTGCATGGCAGCATCAGGGGCCAGGACCGTGGTACTAAAAATAGCACTGTGGCCCTGACTCCAGTCCCAATACACAGATTGCAGTGCAGCTGCTCCTGAGCTGGGGCCATGGTGCTATTTTTAGTACCGCGGCCCAGGCTCCCTCTCTCTAGCAGTTGCTCACGACCCGCCCTGGCTGCAGCTTCAGCCTCTGAGAAGGGCTGAAGCTAAGGACAGGGCCGCAGAGCTGCCTAGCTGCTGCTGTGGTGGTGCAGTTGCCTGCCATGCAGCCTGCCCCGAGCAGCTGAGCAGCGTGTGAGCAGCTCTTGCGTATGCAAGAGTCAAATTCTTGGTGCGCGCCCATGCAGGCATGCACCTTAGAGGGAACCCTGATGTCTAACAACTTCCCCAGACTTCCCAAACCTTCACTCTTATCCCCATGACACGCACAAACCCCACAGAAATAAATATTACATCTATATCAGAAAACGCTGACGAGAAGCTTAGGGTTTAAACAGTTTCTTGACTTCCTAACCATCTGTCACACGTGAACAAAAACAAAAACAAAAAATCAGCTGCTCTTCCTCTTCTACATTATTTAAAGTGAACGTGGATCTGATCAAAGGCCTCACTTTGCCAACACTGCACTGAAGTTCTCTCTCTACGGCACAGGTGCAGCACATTTGGCGGTAAACCAAGCTTTCCACACAACTGCCAAGGCTGCGCCTTACTCCTGAAATGACTAGCCCTATCAGCTCATTCCACTCTTGAGCTCAATGCTGAGCCTGCCAAAGGAGCCTAATCAGTGTCAACCGTGGTGGTGGCGGCCTTGTTTGCGACCTAGTCATTGAACCAAGACACACACGTCACTGACTACCCTTCCAATGATAAAAGTTTCAATTGTTAGTGACCTGGACCACATCCAAACCAGTAACCTAGGAGGGGAAAGCACCAGCTACCATTTCCATAGCACAGTGGCTTGCATGCTTTTTTCCATTTGCAGACCCCTAACATTTCAACAGGAGCACGGACAATCTGTGATCTGCAGACCCACAATACAGATGTCAGGCTGAACACAGACTGAACAGAATTCAACAATATATATTACAGGTGCTCAGCATGGCATTTGAGACAGCATAATAAAAGGCAATAAATCGGTGGTGTCCAACACACTAGCCACTAGGGATGTAGACAACTAATTGACTAAGTCGACTAGTTGCTTCCCCCCACCCCCTTGCTGCCTCTGGCACCTCAGGCTCTCCCTTCCCCAACCCTCTGCCTCAAAATCCTGTCCCACTACTCCACATGCACCCTATCAGAAAGAGGCAGCGGGGGGGAGGGAGAGAAGAGGAGTGCTGGGGGAGCCCATTTAAAAGCCGGTTCCCCCTAGTCCCAGCTCTGTGGGAGGGACAGGAGCGCAGCGGCAGCATTTCACCTCTGAAATGTACAAGAGTCCCCACTGGGGCTCTTGTACATTTCAAAGGCGGGACGCTGCGTGGCACTTCCACCTTTGAAATGTAGCAACAGCTGGGTGGGCTCTTGCTACATTTCAAAGTGGAAGCGCCCTTATCGACTAATCGAATAGTCAATGGAAATTCCATCAACTATCTGATTAGATGATTCATTTTAACATCCCCACTAGTCACATATGGCTATTTGGCTGGTTGTGTGTGGCTGGCTCACTCTAGAAGTAGCCACAATAGGGGCTTCTGCTTCAGAATTGGTTGGACATCATGGCACTTAACTGTGTTCTTCTATGGCAATGACAAAATTCCTAGGCTTTGCCCTATGCGTGAGGGTATTCAAATAGCTTTGATTGATCAGAAAAATGCCTCTTCTGGAATCTGAAAAATTTCACAGACCCCTTAGACCAGTGTGGGCCAGGTAGGCAACTCTCTGTGTCTTACATGGGCCAGATCCATACACTACCTGTATGGTCCAGTCAATGTCACATGGGTCGTAGCTATGCGCTAACTGGGTTGCAGGTGGCCTGAAGGCTGGATCCACTGCCTTAGATGTAGTCCGCGGAGCCCACAGGTTGAAAACCATTGCCTTAGCACAGGCCTGGGCAAAATACGGTGCACCAAGCCACGGGATCCAGCCTGCAGGGCTCCCCTGCAGCCCCTCACACTGCTCAGAAATGCGGCTGTGGGCGCTTTCTCTTTGTGTCCAGAGGGGAGGAGGAAGATTCAGATGCTGCTCCCACCCCCAGCACAATCCCATTGGACTGTTTCTGGACAGACACTAGCCAATGGGAGCTACCTGTTTGAATAACAGGCAGCCACAAACCACAACCCTCCTGCTCACTCACTCAAGCAAAAGATGGAGCAGGCAGAAACATTTAAAACACTGCAAGCCTTTAGCTCTGCAAACAGGCAGGCAGGCTGGTAAGTCTCCTGGCAAGACCCTGCCTCTGGCACCTCAGGCTCTCCCTTCCCCAACCCTCTGCCTCAAAATCCTGCCCCACTACTCCACATGCACCCATACCCCCTCCCAGATCTAGCACCCCAATATCCTGCCTGAGATCACAATCCCCTCCTACTGTAGGTCACATCCCAAAATTCTGCACCCCAGTGCCCTGCCCTAAGTCACAACATCCTCCTTTACCCAAACTCCCTCCCAGACTCCAGTCTCCCTCCTGCACCCCAAACCTTTACCCCAAAGCTCAATTCTGCACCCAACCTCCATCCCAGACTCCGCACCCCCTCCATTAATATAATGGAAGAGTTTGGCCAACAACCACTTTTCAAAATCTTGGGAGTGGCCCCCCCATCAAAAATTATTGCCAACCCCTGCCTTAGCAGATGGTACACGAGGAGTGAAACCAATCAGCAATAAAAGCAGCAAAGAACATATGAAACTGAAAGCAGGAAGAATCTAACGAGTATTATTATTGCAGCATACAGGACAGCACAAAAATCCCCAAAAGCATCCACAGTTGGGTTGCCAATACTGTGAAAACACTCACAGGGTATGTCTACACTACCACCCTAGTTCGAACTAGGGTGGTGGTGTAGGCAATTGGAGTTGCAAATGAAGCCCGGGATTTGAATTTCCCGGGCTTCATTTGCATAAAGCCGGGCGCCGCCATTTTTAAATGTCCGCTAGTGCGGACTCCGTGCCGCGCGCCTACACGCGGCACGGAGTCCGCACTAGCGGACATTTAAAAATGGCGGCGCCCGGCTTTATGCAAATGAAGCCCGGGAAATTCAAATCCCGGGCTTCATTTGCAACTCCGGTTGCCTACATTACCACCCTAGATCGAACTAGGGTGATAGTGTAGACATACCCACAGAGAAGAGATTTTCAGTACAGTTTCAAGGTTTCCTACATTTTATCCTGGCTCATTTGCCTGCAGCAGAGGAAAGAAACCACCTTACGGACATACATGGCCTTAGACGCCTCAGTAACTGGCAGTTGGCTACGAATGGTCACACAAGGCAAACAAAAGCCAAGTAGATACCTGTGCTTCTTGTTCCAGACGATGATAAAAAAATGGAACAAGAAATGTCAGTACACTTGAAAGCTGACACAGGGTGGGACTCTTACAGATGCTTTCAAAAGTCCCAACATGGTAAATGCAACAAATGCTGTCCAGGGCCAAGATTTAAAAAAAGAGAGACCGACTGAAAGGTGAATTAGATCCCAAGGATAGGAAGACAGGCATTCAATGGTGCTACTGTTGAACCATGTTCTAGGAACAGTGGGGGTCATTTAAAATGCATCAGTTCTGCAGATCTGTTGGGAACACACTGTGACCCGTAAGAGGCAATGTCCAAACCCCAACAGAGGCAAAGAGATCAAGGATTTGGTAAGGACGTTTGTCTTTCTGTTCAGAACAGCTCTGTCTCAAATCAACAAAAACTGGAGCCCAGAATGACCACCAAACGATTAACTATAAGACGTCACAATACCACAACACCCATGCAGGGGGGCTAACATTACTTCCATCCCAAAACAGATCGGGGGCAATTTTATCTACTCCTCCACCCTCAGGTGTGCACACACAGCACTAGTCTTCTCTGCTCTCTGATGGCTCAATGTATGGATATCCATTCTACAGCGTGTTCTGGGAATTGTCAATTCAGTTCATTTCAACTGCCAGCTTGCACAAGCCAAGTGGTAAGGGGAAAAGTGTTGCCACATATCAGCTGTTTCTGCTGTCATTTATGGCATGCGCTCATTGAAACCACCCCTTTAAATGGTGTGAACCATGTACCTCAGCATATATAAAACGCAAAAAAAGTTAAGTGTTATAAACAGCTAGCGAACGACCGAGGCCATGACTAGATTTCCAGGAGCAGATGTATAGAATCCAACAAGATATACTTTTTTTTCCAAAGAAACAGAAATGGCTCTCAGCTCATACGGAAATTTATAACAAAGCAACACAACATCTGGCTCAGCCTGAATCTTATGCAGTTCACTAAGCCAAGTGAGCAACCACTTAAAACTCAGCAGGATGCCTGGTGAGGAAGTATGGGAAATAAGGTCCACATGCTACACTTCTAGAATTAGAGATAGTTAACAATGATCTTAAACTTTGCCCCAATCAGACTTTTTTTTTGTGGGGGGGAGGAGTCCCATTGCCTCCTTTGGTGGCAACATAATTGCAGATGGGCTTACAGCAGATACAAATACATGAGACTGGCGTCATGCATCCTGAAACAGATCTTCTCTCAGGAATTATTTTTCCCATTTCTGCCTCTGACACGCACACAATCAGTGGCAGTCCCTACTTGGGATCTTTTTGAAGCCAATTTCCCATGTATCTAGGTAAGATATACATAAAGTGACAATCAGTGTTAGCTGCCTCTTCCTGAACCTAGCTTTTCAGTTCCTCAGATAAAGAGCCAACTAATACAGCTGAATTGGTTCCTGGAAAGCAAAAGTCCGTTTTATGGAGGTAGAGGACCGGCCTCTTCCTCCTCAAGACACTGGGGTTATCATTCCAGTTTTCATTTCTGTCTAGTCCACTGATAGCAAGTAATTGATTTCCATTCACAAAGCAGCAACATTTCCAGTATTAGCCGTTTCTTGCCTCCTTCCACTAAAGAGTCAAAGTTAATACGAGAAATTCCTGCAGGAATGACTTTGAACTGAGCATCAACTTGCATTAACTAAGGTATAATGTTTCCATTAATCATTCAGATTGCAGTTACAAAGGAACAGCAAGCTCTCTCAAGAGACAGAACACAAAAGGAAAAGCTCAAGATGATTCACTTTGTTTGATGATTGTGCCCAGCCTTTGCACGGAATTTATGCTGAACTTTACTCTTGAAGCACAACACAACCATTGTGTTGAGTTCCAGATCAGGAAATAGCATAGTTTTGTTTGATAATTACTTACCATGGAATTAAAAAAAAAATCACAAACAAAAAAACCAGCTACATGGTAGTGCCAAAGTTCCTGATTCTGAAGTGGGAAATATGGAACTAACAAAAGATTCTGGAAGAATTTCACTATTTGGACTCCACTTTGGAAGTAAATGTGTCTGAAAAGCAAAGTTGGGCCACAACAGGGCTGGCTGAAGAAGATTACTATTATTATTCCATTATATATTTCCAAACTTTGCGAGGTGCTGTATTTGCCTTGCAGGTCACTTCATTTCTTTTTATGTTACAAGCCCAAATGTTACTGCACTAAATACATATGTGCATCCTGAAAATCCAAAAGCATCAATGGGAAGTGCCCACAGCTGGATAATCTTATAACTGTCAGGAATCCAAGCATTTTAATCTTGAAGTGATGCTTGCTTCAGAGTGAGCCATTTCACAACTTCAAATATTACGTGGCACTAACAGAGCGAAATGGATTTTAGGGATGTGAAAGGTTAAGCAGTTAACCAATAATTATCGCCTTAGAGGTGATGTTTACCGGTTAACCGGTAGAGACTAGCTGGGCACCCGCGCCGTGACAGTAAGGCCACTCCAATGCGGCCTCAGGAGGTTAACCAGAGAAATATTGTCTCTTTTACCAGTTAACCAATTAAATGGGATTTTACATCCCTAAGTCTGATAGTCTTCTCTCTTCTGCAGTCTCAGATAACTCTCAATAGTTTACTATATTTAAAAATGCAGAGCCACAGCAGTCCCAGGGCTGGAACAAGCTGGGACTGCTTAGTCCCAGCTCGCACCGTCTCTGAGAAATAACACCACTGCGGCTCTGCAGTTTAAATATAGTAAGAGACGGGCTGCCTGCACACTCAGCTCCTACTACATTTAAACTGCAGAGCTGCAGCGGCGGTAGCAAGCACCTCCCCTTATCAACTAATTGAGTAGTCAATGGAAATTCCATCGACTATGTGATTAGCTAATTATCCTCTACTTAACACCTCTATTTTATCTGTCTAACTCATGCCATGGCCACACTAAGTTTATGCACTCTTCTGGTTGTGCTTTAAACTTTTAAGTGTAAACAAAGCCTCACTCCCTTTGAAATTTAGATTAGACATTCTGTGCATAACAGATCTAATTGACCTGAGATCTCAAGGTCTCTTATGCAGGTGAGATAATTTTTCCTTCAACTCCCCCATACAGAATATTCTAACTCTGATCAGCCCTGAAAAAAATCCACTGTATGTTGCAATACTGATGCAAGAGAGTTCAGAGTGACCCTCCTGTTTCTGTCACTATGTTTTAAGGTAGGGAGATTAGATAGCAGGTAAGAGAATAGTCAACTAACCACATGAATTCTTATCGGTTACATGACTATTCTATAGTCCCTGGGGGCGGGGCCTGGTAACCAGAGCACTCTTGTCCCACTTCCAGGTAGCCCCTGCCACCCCGCGCTGTATCAGAGGCAGCACTGTGGGGTGGCAGCAGCCCTTGTCCGAGAGGATCCAAGCTCCTCATAGACAAAGGCTGCTGTGGGGAAGGGAGGCTGTCCTGAAGCACCCTCTCTTAGTAGCGGCCTAGACTTGCCGCGGACAGAGGCTGCTTCAGGGCAGCCTCCCAGCAGCCTCCTCCCCACCACACCCCGCACTGCTGCCTTTGATAGAGACAGCAGTGGGAGAGGGGCAGGCAGCACTAAGGAGCCGGTGCTGGGGGAACCGGCTTTTTAACTGGCTCCCCACAGCACCAGTTCCTAAGAATGTGAGTAGCCTAGTCTTATCGGTTAATCATATACTCGACTACTCATTTACATTCCTATTTTAGGGCCATTGAAATTCAGACAGGACTAACAGGTTTCTTTTATGGTAGACAGCCCAAGTCAAGGAGACCTCTTTCAAAAATCTGAGTGTCTTTTTCTAGGGATACTAATCCCAGAAATTGTGGGCATTGACTTATTTGTGTCCTGTGTTCTGAGGTCCAGTAACATGCCATATGTGTTTCAATTTTCTTAAAGAGAAACACCTTTTACATTGGGAAACTTTTGTACATATTAGAACCAATGGACAAAGTGGGGACATATATGCATTTACATGGGCAATCTCCTCTGAAAGCTGCATTGAAGCTAAATATCTGAAAATAATGATTTACTATTGTTTCATTCTAAACACAGGAAGACAATGCTGGTGAAGGGCTCAGCAAAATGAAAAACCAAGTAGTGATGGTGAGAGCACTTATTCTATCCATCCTCTACACGGACATAAAAAATAAATCAAAAAACACCAGCAAAAGACTTTGATTCTTGAATAAGCTCTCTCATCTTTCAAGTTTTCCACCACACAGAAATGCCTCTAAGCTCTTTATGGTTAGTTTGGGTTAGAAGAATGAATAAACTTGGGTTATGGATTCTTACCTTCAATCCTGGTTTTTCATCATCACTACCATTATTTGTAGATGGTGTTTCATCCCCTTGCCTGGAAACCAAGACAAAATCTTCACTGTTAAGAGTGGATACCGAATCTGAAGACACACTGATTTTTCCAACAGAGGCTTTGTCATCCATGTCTTAAAAAGGAAGTTCGACTCATGAATGAGATTAAATATTTTATATACCCCTGAAAAACAAAAAATAAAAAAATACTTACATAGAAATTTGTGCTTGAAGCTCAAATGTTTCTTTTCAAACACTTCATGACAATTTTCAGAAACTTCATAACTTTTAAAAATCAACACATCTGACTGCATAGCTGAGTAACAGCTGCCAGTACATCATTATGTACTCGTGGTCCTGGCTTTTCAATTTGCTGGGAAATGCTTTACTCTGAAAGAGCTGCACTGGTTTCTACACAAAAACAAAGTTTTACTTTTGAAGTGTTTCATGATCACCTTTCCCAGCAAAGCATCCTCTACAGTACAAATAGATTCACACTGAGGGCCTGCTTATAATACTCATTGTGCAATGTAGATGGGGCATGAAAATCATACCCCCAAGCAGTGCTGAAGTCCAGCTGTTTAAGGAACATGGTTAAGATCTTGTCTACGCTGCCAAATGAAAGTGTTGCAACAAAATCTCAGACACAGTACTGTCTGTAGTGTAGAACAGGTTCCTGGAGATGTGCCATGCCTGAAGATAAAAAATGACGTTTTAAGGCCAGCATTAGCCCAGTCATAACCTGGTGTACCCTTTATCTGTATGAATTAAAATATCATGCTAGGGTTTTATAAATCTCAGGACATGCCAATCATCAAATTCCACACACAATGATCTCAACATTATATAATTTAACTTCATATGCTGTACTGAAAGCACAATGGACCCTTCAAACGAGCAATATCCCATGATTCTGCAATGGACACCCCACCAAGAAACAGGAAGAACAGCAGGGGCCGGATCAATGCTGCAAGTCAGAGCCAATAGATAGGCTAAAAAAAGTCAGAAGAACTGGCACTGAGATACACACTAGATAAAGGGAACAAAAGGTGGAGGCCAACTACACACCTCCAACATCAAGGGTTCTTCGAACCCATGGCTAAAAATTAGGAGTGCCATAGTAGAAACAGCCAGTTTAATTCCTTAGAAAGTCCACAATACGTGCTCATCACAAGAGTCATGTCTTTACTGACTCCAAAGGCTGACCAAAGCTGATTTTTCCCCCCCATTTGAATTGTGCCCTCTGCCCTGTGGGGAAGCAACCTCACCTGCCTGCCAAAATAGCAGCCAAACATTGAGACAGCTTGGCACAGTGTGAGTATAAAAAGGATACACAACCATATGAGAGGATGGCTTTTTTACTTGGAACCCTACAGAGCCCATAAGCACTGGAGGTACTTTGGAATTAATATTGGATGAATTTTTCAACATCCTTTTAGACATGAATTTTTAACCGTGAGAGTAATTAACCATTGGAACAATTTACCAGGAGTCATGGATTCTCCAATCACAGGCAATTTTAAATAAAGATTGGATTTAAGATATGCATTAGTTCAAAAGGAATTATTTGGAGCATGTTCTATAGTCAGTTATAAACAAGGTCAGTCTAGATGATTAAAATGATCCTTTCTGGCCTTGGAATCTATGAATCATCCTGCTTAATGAATGGCAATTGTAGTGCATGCAAGAGGCCTAGCCCACTCCACTAAAGGGCTGGCTGCACACTGGGACTCGGACAGCCAGATGACTACTCCTTATTTTGAGAACGAGTCTCTCTGCCAATGCAAAGAAACATTTGAGATTAGAGTGAGACAACCTCCCTATAAACATTTGCTACCCCAACTCCTGCAAAGTTATTGCCTTTGATTTTGCTGTAAGTAGATTGTCTGATTGCTCTTAACATCTTACGAAATGTTCTCTTTGAATTCCAAGTATTATTACAGCAGCACTTTCTTCCAAAGCATAAATGCGGACAGAAACTGAGTCATGAAACTCACCAAAGAAAGGAGCATTGTAGGATTCTCCTTTGGAATACGCAGAATTTTTTTTTTAAAGCAACAACATCCTACTCCTGTCATATTCAGGCAATTACACGCTAACAAACAAAAAGGCTGCCTAGAAGCCAGTTGCTGTTTTTTCATTATATGGCAAATGCCTTATGTGACCCCAAAAAGGCTTCTAGGTTTGATTGTTCTTAAACCAAATTAGAATTTCTAACTACTGCTGTTAAGTAATTAATAAAACAGCCACTCATGGCTCTCTGGCATGTCACTGACTTGAGGGAACAGTGAAAATTTAAGAAAACTGTAACAGTTAAGACATGAAAGAGCAATTACAATATCATATCCCCATCCTCATTTACACAAAACACATCATCGGACATCAACAGTACCAAGAAGAAAGAGCAGGACCAACAATGACAGACACAACCAGAAAGTAGCCCAAATATTTCATTAGCAGTATCCCAAATACTGATGGACGGAGGGACAATTTCAACTGATTAACATATCTGCTTTCCAGAACTATCTGTACAATTTTCCACGAGTGATGTACCCAAGTACTTGTTTCACGAATACCTAAAGTGTACTGCTAAACTTGCACACCTAAATCTGAATCAATGCTGATTATGTTCTGTATGTATTGTGTGGTTTTTTTAAGCAAAACTTTTAATTTTAAATAATCCAAGCATGACATTCAGATGCACAGATTTTTTTTAAACACGTGTACCATCTCAATCTATTTCAAAAAGTTTAGCTTCAATAAAATGTATATGCGTGACCTTGTTCTTAAAAGCTACAATTTACACAAAGTACACTGCTTCTCAACAAAACCATAAAAGTTTATTCATTAATTTCCTCTCTTCCAACCCACACTGGCACGATCGCCCCTAATATTACCTGTTCACTTGCAAAGTTTTCCTGCTGCTCTATGTTAGAGAAAAAACTGCCCCCCCCAGTAAAAAAAAAGTTTGGCCAAGTGGTTCTTGCTATAGTGGGCTGCAGTACTCCTTGGGAGAAACCGGTTGCACCCTTCCTGCATACCACTGCCTTTAAAAAAAGGGAAGGTGTGAAAAGGGGAAAACAGCCTCAGACTCTCCCACCTGTCACCTTGGCGTGAGAACTGCGGGGCTTACCTGGTCAGATGAAAGCTGCTCAGTTTCAGCCCAACCCCTGGGACACAGATCCCGCACTTGGTGACCATTGGGCCATATATGGTAATATGCAAGCGCAGGAAAGCGATGTGCGGATTTGGGGATAAATACCGATCGCACAGTTCGCTCGAGGAGGTCTTTGCAACATACGCACCACCGTGCGTGTGCCTTCCCATATACTTCAAAGCGCTGCCAGTCTGATCAACCGACCAGCCACCTCCCCTGACTCTCGGGTGTAACCAAGGCCTTCGCAACCGAACCGATATCTTTGAAATGTTCCGTGTAAGTTGGTATGTAGGATTTGATTTTTTCTTGTTGTATAAGCTTAGTGTTGTAGTATTTTTGGGTAGTACATAGAGTTTGTAGTTATCACTGTTATTTAATTAGTGTAGCTGGATATTTTTAGAATAGAGACTATTCCCCTTTCCATTCCCATCCTTGTATCTCTGACACATTTAACTAGAAATCATAGAATAAATATAATAAACACTGTGAATTCTTTATTAATACGGTCTATTAAAATCTTAGAATAAATACTATAAATTCATCACTGTTATAAATAAATATTTTTTATTTGCTAAAACGGTCCGCCTGGTTCTGTCCTTCCCCCCCTTAGGTATGCATCATCGGACCTGTGATTCTCACGACACTCTACACAGTAGTAAGCTTGGAGAAAGTACCTGGAAATGCTCACAAGCCCAGACGATCCCCCAAACTTTGCCCAATTAAGGGGTTCCACTGACCCGCTGCCAGAGGCCCAAGGAGTGTGCTTTATTTACATAACGCAGACTGCAGTCACCTGCCTCTAAGATGAATTGTGGTCCACAGAGATAACTGCACAGTTTACAATCTTTCAACTTGATCTAAGCAGCGTTGCTACAGGCTGAGACTTGCAGACATTGCAAACAGCATCATAATGAACTAGCAGAGGGCAGCGCAGATCACCCTGCACTAAAACGGCGTAGCAGCACAGAGAACCTTATCTGAGGAAAGAGCTTTATGAGTGACAAGCAAACAGAAGTGATGAAAAGAGTAAAGTCCCATTTCAACTGTAATAGAAATGTAGCCGTGTTAGTCTGGTGTAGCTGAAGCAAAATGCAGGACTATGTAGCATGATGAGCTTTCGTGGGCCAGACCCACTTCCTCAGATCAAATAGTCAATAGTCACTATTTGATCTGAGGAAGTGGGTCTGGCCCACGAAAGCTCATCATCTAATAAACCATCTTGTTAGTCTTTAAAGTGCTACATAGTCCTGTATTTTGCTTCATTTCAACTGTATTATCTAAGGGTGCTTCCCAGCAAATTCCAAGGTGATAATACCACAGGATTACTGCCAAAGGCTTTCTGATAAACCATCTCCATACTGTTCTCACCTATGTCCAGGAAGTATGACCTCAAATTTAGCATCACCTGATGGAGAGCGCCCTTTATTACCTTTGAAGCCTTTCCGTCTGTGTTTGTATTACTGGCCGCAAGTTTTAAAAAGTCTGTCTTTGCTTTTCTGTTTCTGATATCAAAACTCCAGGGTCAGTTTGAACCTGAGTCTGTCCATTCAAAGAGTTGAAAGTGCAACATTCTTTCATTTTACCCGGCTAGGAATATTAAATATGAAATAAATGGTTATTAGTAATGATTTATGAATTCTAAGTACCAAGTCTATTGAGAGACTCACAACTACACAATCTACAAAATTTGCCGCTCATCTGAAAATAACTAAATTAATAATAAAATGGAAAATAAAAATAAGCCTTCAAAATGTTTTTGCCAATTTTTTTCAAATGAAGTGTGAATGAATATCTGCACTCCTGAAAGACAACAGGCAAAGTAGACCTTGCTTTGATCACTGGCAGCTGATAAGGTAAGGTAAGGTAACAGTTTCACACTTTATTTTGGTATCCCGTGTCTATCTTGAAATGATAAATGTAATCTATTTTCAAAGCCTGACAATCTGGCACCTTTCACCAACACTAAATTTACTTTTTAGTGCTGTGGTTTCACTTACTTCAACCAGGCATCACACATAATAATCAGGT